GCTGTTTTATGTGTTCTCAATATTGATATGATCCGAAGGGCAAGTTCTCACAAGAATATCGAGTGATTTTCTGTACAATTCAAGACTCGTGTCATATTCACCTTTCTCATCTGCAACCATACCGAGGTTATGATATAATTCAGAGAGTGAAAGATCATTTGATGGAAGTTCACTCAAAACTCGACAATATTATTTTTCGGCTAAATCAAACTTTCCCATACTATATACTAGATAACCAAGTGAGAGAAGATTCGTAATCTTTCTATCGAATTCATTCTTCATGTGATCATAGAGTTGTTTGAGATCATTGTCATGATCATTGCATAATGTCATTCGAATGATCGACATTGCCACATCAGCTGATGATTGATCATGACAGATCTGATTCAAGCGTAAGATTGAACCAAGCATGAAGAGTACTTCTCATTCATCTTCAGGATCGCTGAGTCCTACCACTTTTGTAAAATAGCTGTTATTTTTGGTGGCGGTTTCAAGTACGCAAGGATCAGTATCGATTTTGAATAGCACTGATACTAGATCATCGGGCGCTATAGAACTGATGGTGTATCCAAGGAATTTTAATGCAACGGAACGATCCATTATTGTCGATAAATATGCATTTATTGAAATGAAACTTCGTTTCGATTTGCGCAACTGTATCAATTCTGCCTTCGACATCATCTGTCCTCGATACACTCGAATCCGTTCGTGACATTGTAGTACGCGTAACTGCTCGAATATGTTCCGAATCACAATTCAAAAAGAAATGAGATGTCTACGTTTTGTGTAAGTAATGTCTTGTTCAACATGCGGTAAACAAATGACTCACGCGCATATCGCCAAATAGCCTTCGAAAATCGATATTCAACATCGAATTCATTCATTGGTGTCATTTCCGATTTATTTCGTTTCATTAGCAAAATATGCCTTCATCCGACATATCAATCACTTTTTCAAATACATGAATCAGAGACCAACCTCGTTAAACTAAAGAAATCGCTATCAAATAGTACACATTTTAACGCGATTTGTCCAATAAAAACTCCCGTTTCCTGCGACAGAGAGCGTGTGACCGGTCGTACGGGGGGTGACGGTTTTGCTGCCATCCACACATTCATACATACAACCAATCGCAACTGCTTCTTCGCCTTTCTTGTAGCTGTAGGCTATAAAAATTAAGGCTGCTGTGATTTTCTTCTCGATGTACAATGTCAGTGTGTCAATGTTGGTAACGACAAGGATGTCATCCACATCTGCACGAGCATTCATATTAGAGCCCGAAAGCAAACCGAACTCGAACCTTAACCATTTATGAGTTTTAAAAATTGTCTGATATACATGAAGAAGTGCTCTCGTGTCTTCCAAGTAAGTTACTGATTGAAGATAAGGCAAAAAAAGATGGATCTTTAAGATAATATTGCACAAATCCAGCTTTATTTGACCTTTTTTCTTCGATAGAGTCTAACTCGAACCAATTTTCTGAGACTCTAATCGAACCGAATCGAATCTGAAAAGGTCGGTTCATTTCGAGCTCTGATTCATAATCACATACATATTCACCCAGGCCCACCAGTTTTCGTCTAACGAGGGAACATTCACAACTGTTAATCGCCGATCGAAGTGATATTTTGCCCATGAGCAGCACTCAATGAGACTAGGAAAAGCCTAAAAGAATTCGTCCCCATAGGTCTTCCTTCTGGAGTTATGACCATTTTACAAACTTTCCGGCTTAAGGCAAGCTATTAATAAAAAAGCCAAAAAGAAGGAATTGCCATCTGAAGTTTTGCCCATAAGTAGGTCTTATGATCTTTAGAACATCCTGAAAGCTTCAGTCAAAATAGATGGTTCCTTCTCGAGATATAGAATACTAAAGAAAAGTCGTTTTTATGACCTTTTTGTGACATATGATCGTTTTTTTAAATTTTCAATATCTCAAGAAGGAACCATCCGTTTTGACTGAAGCTTTCAGGATGTCCTAAAGATCATAAGACCTACTTATGGGCAACACTTCAGATGGCAATTCCTTCTTTTTGGCTTTTTTATGAATAGCTTGTCTTAAGCCGGAAAGTTTGTAAAATGGTCATAACTCCAGAAGGAAGACCTATGGGGACGAATCCTTTTAGGCTTTTCCTAGTCTCATTGAGTGCTGCCCATGGGCAAAATATCACTTCGATCGACGATTAACAGTTGGGAATGTTCCCTCGTAAGCTGGGTTATTAAATATCCCGTTTATCACACACACAATAGATTTGTTAGAAGTCCACTATCGAACATGTAAGCTAATGTGCGCACATGAATCGAAATGAGGCTGTCATACGTATATTGGATAGGATATAATATCAAGTTTTCAGGAATTCGAGTTCATATAAAAATAGTAGGTCGCTAGCTCTGTTCATCTCAAAACACTGAAAAATCAAACCTAACTCCTATTGATCTGTTAGGTTTGAATGTCTTTATAAATCGCTTAATTTCAACAACACTAATCTTTCAGACTCAACATTTTGACATTGTTAACTTATGTAACAATTGGTCATATTCCTTATCTTAATGTCATGGGTATTAGAGTAATCCATCGAGGATTATTTGAACTTTTCATTCCAGTACTGATATAATTCGTCTGTAATTTCTTGCTCTATTGAAAGTACTTTAGTACCATTGGATAATTTAAAAAATGGCGTATACGCGCTTTGTAGATGCGAGATAAACGTGTTCAAAAAATTTTGTTTGAATTATCGTGTATCGCTTCGACTATTGGTAGAGAGTTTTATCATTAAGCAGCTTTGTATTGGTCTGTATCGATTTTTAATTCTTTCTGGTCCGAGCGCGTAATAGTATCTTTTTTTTCGTACATAGTTTGTTTTTGTCGTGATTGATAATCTTTATTTTTCACTTTTATTTATTTTAATTTTTCAACAATGCAACCAGGTAGCGACAGCTTATACTTATCTTTCTTTTTCCAATGTGTCAATGTGTTATTGACAGCAGTAATAAAACGAACCTATAGTTTATATCACATATCTGCACTATGTCTATTTTGCTCTTCCTTCAAAAATGATTGGGGAAACACTAATACATTACATATTCCAAAGCATTCTAATTTGTATAAGAAAAAATGCTGTTGATATCAAAAGAAGTAATCTCACGTGAATGCACAATCGGCCAGTGATCACTCGTGCCAAAATGCTATGCTTCACTTGAAACAGTAATCATATTTGATAATGATAAATCTATATTATGTCGGCAGCGTTTTGATGTATAGAAACTCGGTAGTATATAATTAAGATTGCTCTATTCAATCCATTATTTCATGCACGCACCGCTCCTGTCTATTTCTAGACTATTCTATTCTTTCGCTGTCATAGTGAAATCATCCGTTAGAATGATACCTTATATCTTATATCAGAATGAATCTCACCAAGATTAAGTTGTTGACTGGTGAGTCAATAAATACCAATGATAAGTATTGCTTCTAAGAGACATGCTATATCGACAACTACTGTATTCGAAATGTTAACATCAACGAATTGCGCTTTCCAATATTCTCCTACTGCTTTTTATATAGCTCCATTTTGGTAAGTACCCTTCTGATGGAATATGTAAAAATGTAGTAATCGAGATGCGTTTCATAATTTTCCTACTTCTGTAAAACTACAAATAGAAAGCTTTGGATTTATACGTCAAAGCCATTACTTCAAGCACACGCGTCTCACGTCTGTCTACATTATAACACAAAATCTTGAAAGATTCTTGTTTTTGGTTTTTAGAAGAAGATATTCCAATACTTTTCCGGTGTTATGAAAATGTTTATACAATTCAATACCATACCTAGTGTCTCATATTCATGTTGTCGTATATTAATCACCGAATCTTCGTATAGGCCCTATCACAAGTCCCCTTTTTTTTCATAACTACTTCACAATGAACTAGTCACCATATGAGAACTACCGCCAGTTTACTGGCGTCGTTTTTGAAAGTGTTGTATGATAGTGTACTAATATCAAAGCAAGTGAATATTTTTGAAGTCTGTTCAAACTGATAGAATTTAGGTGTTTTCAATGCAGTCTGATCGTATTGATGTGTCTGAGTCACCTTCACGAAGTAAGAGCCCAAATCAGTCTTAGCTATGTGGCAAGTTTTTATTAGTAAAAGGTATTAAGAAACTGTTTTGTTCTCGGATAACTTGAGTTTTAGTCTAATAAATAATTCAAATTCGTATAGAAAACACTCTCCGCAATAGTTTTTAACTGGAACTGAAAGTTGTAAGTGCTACCGTTAATGCTTATGAGTACCGCAGTATACCGACAGTAGTGCGAGCGAACGTGCGACATGGGTCGTTTTGTGAGTAGTACTCTAGGGCCATGATCTAACATACAATGAACCAGAATAAGTAACCTAGTTGAGTTAGTATAACTTGAAATCGAAAACTAAAAATACAAGATTCTTTGGAAATTTCTATAATCATCTTTGTATTTAATCATTCTATGACTCTTATTTAATTTAAAAAAATTTCTTTATATATATGTATCTATTGTTCAAACTGTTCATTTTAGTCACACATTCAATGACAAAATGTCAAATTTGGAAAAAAAATCTTGACATACACACATGCGCACATATTGAACAAAACAAAAAAAGAAAGAAATTTTGTACCACAGCAATGTATACGACAACAAGCCACACAAAAGAAAGAAGAGATAATTATTTTGATGATATGAATACACGCTCAATGACAATGACATCGCCACAGGTACATAATTTAGCACCATTAATTGTTTTCGATTAAGGATTTAGTTAGGAAAAATAAAGAACTGCAAAGCTAAGATAGATAGAAAAAAATGTATTCTTGCATCAAATTAACACCGAGACATTATTAATCAACAAGATATATCACCGTCTAGAGCCACAACAGATTTCTAAAGAAATATATTTAATTAATAAGAAAAAATTCTTTTTTTTCTTTTTTCTTTCATTGAAAACATACGATCTTTTTCCGATATACTTCAAAGATGTTTCAGGTGTTGAAAAAAAAGATAATCATCAACAAATGTTGATTTTGATTTTGTAACTATTTTTAATATTCCACATTCATCAAATTTAATATCTTCATCATTTTCTGATATCATTTCAAATATATCATTTGCTGTTCTTATCTTTTGTTTAGTTGACGTATCTAAAAATAAATTCCAAATCTTTTTATAATCATTTTTTTATTATTATTTCTCACCAACACCCGATGCTGTTCTTATTAAAGTAAATATTCTTTGATTATCATAACATCCAACAGTTTCATTTAAATTAAGTGGTATTAATGAATTATTCTATAAATAATCAAATTAGATAGAAAAAAAAACAACAAGTACTATTATATGTTTTACATACAGCATAAAAAATAAATTGTCCAATAGAATAATTTAATTTGTCAACAATTGGTTGTAAAACTTGTAATAGTGTTCGTTTTGGATTACATCGTACACATAGAGTTTTTGCTGGAAAATCAAGACGTATTAATATACGCGTTTCAACATAAATTTCCTTTCCAGATAATGTTGATAAGGGTTCTTGAATATTAATTGGTTGCTAAATATAAACAATATTAAGCTATTTATATATATAGTTTTATCGTTCTTATACTGACGGGGATGTGTCAATAACATTTTAATCAATAATCCGAAAAATAGTCAAAGACAATCGCTGACATTTCTCATATTTCATTGAAGACAAGAAATAGCTGATATGCACAATTAGTTCTCTATGGTAATTAGATATGAGTCAAGCTATAAAAGAAAACTCGTTTCGTTCCTATATCTAATTCAAATATATTGTATTTATTGAGAAAAGAAATAGACTAAATTATTTTGCGACAATAAAAAGAAGATCGAACAATTACTCGACTATGAATATATAAGAACAAGAGAAAACGGATGGTTTCTCTAAACAATTTGGATTAAATTTTTTCAAAACACTTTCGAACTTAAGGTACTTATACAAAAATTAACAACAAATTATAGAAGCAAGTGTAAACAAGTGTACACTAATTGAGATATGTATAAAATACTAACAAATTAAGATGGAATAGAAATATGAAAAAGTTAAATTTTTGTTTTGATCTTTATCTTAAGAAAATTTATTTCTAATATCTCTACAAAAGATTCTAAAAAATTATTAAAGTTCTATTACTTGAATAGTTTTAATTTCTGAATGAATCTTTTTTTTATGAGTGAAAACAATCATTTAGAAATAATTAAAATCTTACTAAAACCTCAGGAGAGAACTCATTCGACCAATATTCTGCTTTTAACCTCATATTTTGCGCATAGTGTAGATAGAAATTCTAAAATGATTCGTGCCAATAGGCATTCCTTCTCGAATTATGGTCATTTTACTGAACTTTCAACCTGTTGGAGGAAATCACGTGAAATATCGCAACTAAAATTTTCAATCTGAAATTCTTCCAAATAATAGTTCTCATAGTTCTTGTGATACCCTGAAAATTTCAGACGAAATGAATTGATTTCTTCTTAGAATATCGTATGCCTAAAAACTCGACTATTTTTGAAGCTCTTGTGTGAAAGTAACATGCTTTGAAAACATGTTATCTTCGAAGAGAAACATTTTTTGCACTGAAACTTTCACGATACCATAAGGACCTTGAGAGTTATCGTTGAGGAGAATTTCACACAAGAGTTTCTTCTTCTGACGATTTTTCTTGTGACTCTTTGGAATGAACTGAAAGTTCAGTAAATGATCATAAATCGAGAGGAAATATCTAATGGCACGAACTCTTTCAGGATTTTTATCTTTGCTTCGAGTTCTATCTATGACTAAAATATGAATTCAAACGAAGATTATTAGTCGTATAATTTTTTTCTTGTCAGTGATGGGTTGAAGAAGAGAGCGAAAAAGTGATTACCCTTCACTTCAAGAAATTCTTTTCATTTTGTTTTATTCAGAAAAAAAAACAAACGAAAAACGAGCTTATATTACCGTAAATGAGTTTTGTCTATGATCATTTCCTCGTTGGAAAGAGTACTGTTCTCCGACTCTGCTTTCCAAAATCCTAGAACTATCGTTGCATAATCTCTGTGATAAATATATCGATATTCGCTCCAAACTAAAATGTTTTATCAAACAATTAGAATATCTTTCAAAAATTATATTCAAAGAACTTGTTCAAATCAAAATACAACATAAGAATTTCAAAAGCAGGTACATTCAGATAAACGAATGTCAGGTAATTTAAATGATATTAGACTGTAATTTATAGGGAAGAAAAGGAGAATCATCGTTACTTTTATTTAAGGTTTATGCATAAGAGTATAGTAATCATGCTGAAATGTTCTTTTGAGAAAACTATTGACGAAGATGAAAAAAGATACGTTTGATCAAACAAAATTATTTCTTTCTTTTCATTGAAATATATCTTCATAAAATAGCTTAACTATTATAATTAAAAAATAAATAAATTTTGAAATGATCTCTTTACTGTCACACAATCACATTCATTTATTTTTTAATATTATACATTCATTCTCAATATTGAACAGTATTAAATCCTAGAAATAATCTGATACACTAATTATCTTTCACATTCAATTGATATTATACAATAATAAAAAGAAAGAAAATTTTTCTTTTTTAATAATAGGGTACAGATTTAGATACAAGAAGGGTCAATGCAAAAAATAGTTAATCCTTTGCATGTCATCTGAATATTTTACAAATGTCGAGCCTCAAAAATAAGTAGATTATATGGAGACAGGAAATAATCTCAGACTATTTTGTCTATCAAACGAAATATTAAGACACTCAAAATGTTTACTTGATCAATAGAATATAATTCAGTTCGATACCATGTAAGTCCACGTTTAGCAAATAAACGATTAATCGCTGTTTGAATAGTATTTGTAGAATTGTATGTTAAAATAACCGCTGATGTTGAATCCGGAAATATAAAACGACAAAACCGAGAGAAATCTATTGATGATATTGAAGAATATTTCTATGAGAAAAAAATTAAAAAAAATATAATTTTGTTTTTTTGTGTGATAAAACATCAATAAATAAACTAACAATTATAAATTTTTTATCATTATAATCTTGATTTGTATCGGAATGTGAAACAACATTAAACAATGATGAATCCTGCTGATTAATATTTGATGAATATTTATTCATTTTATTAAAATTTCCAATGGTTACTAATGGAGATGATGTTGGACTGTGAAGGCAAATTGATGATGATGATGATGCAGCTGGAGTTTTATTTAAATGTAATATCGGTGTTAATTCTGCTGATGCTGATTTATTTGTTATCGGTAAATAAAAGTTTTCATATATTGTTGTATTTGTACTAGCATTTGCAGTTTGATGTTGATAAAAATTAGACGATGATGAGGGTGTATCACGTTTAACTAAATTTAAATATTCAACGAATAAAACAATTTGTTTTTAATCAGCAAAATAAAACAGAATTTGATCAATTTTATTTTTTGTTTCTATTTTAGAAAATATTTACTATCTACCTGATTAAAGTAGAAAAGTTAATGAAATACACTAATCATCACTGGAATCTTCATTGAGCGCGTTACTCGCCGAGTTTGACACTGCAACGGAGAGAAAGAGAGGAATCGATATCGACAGAACTTTATTTGAACTATTTTACAGATATATATATATATAGGTATATGTGCGAATGGGAATTGAAGAAAAACAAGGTTCTAGTAGATGCAAGAATGTCAATATTAATTTTCATTTTTGTCTTACACATAAAGAACAATAATGAAATTAATATTAATTAAAAGATGAATATGTAATGTGCAATAAAATATTAATGGTGCGTTAATAATAGTACCGAACAGTGACATGCTCTATTCATTCTATTCGTCGTAAAAATATCATTCATACGTATATTTCAACAGTAGATTGGATCAGATCAATCAACTACTGATGTCATTTCATACCTCATTCACATGCAGAGCATCAACAGCTGACATAAAGCTATCAACATACGAATGGCTAGTAGTAATAGCAATAGCAATAGCAATAGCAATAGCAACAGCACATGTTAATTAGTATGACTACTAATAGTTTCTCCATCTATTCGTAACTCGATGTCTTTCGAGTTTTCACGAGTAGATGAAGAAAACAAAAATACATTTATTTTTTTTTAAGGGTTGGCAAGGTTATTAACTAGACAAGCTCTATTTTTTTCTATTTGTATATATATATATATATATAAATAGATGCAAAACATCAAAAGAAAAAAGAACTTGCTTGTCTCTGGCGCAGCTAAATAGATCGAAATAATGTACACAACAATTAAATACATAAGCAAAGATAATAACTAACCTGATAGACGTTTCCATTTAATTAATGCTAAAGAGAAAAAAAAATAAATAAATAAGAGATAGTTAAATAAAACAATAGAAATTTTATTATTACCTTTTGTCCAAGGCAAAAGTGGACTTTTTTTTTTATCTTTTTTCTCTTCTTCTTTCAATTTACCCTATGAATGATAAATAAAAAACAAAACAAAAGAAATTTTTGGATAAATTTTTTTGTTTTTTGTTTTCTTAATTATTTTTCATACAAGAGAATCAATTGTTTTCGAACGTTCTTCACTATTTACTGATGTTTGTTGTGGCTTCATTGTATATGGTATAGATTTTCCTTCCATTTCACTCATAATACAATCTTTATACATATTAGATTTTAAAAATCTTGTATATGAATCAAGTTTCATTAATTGAAATATCTGAGATTGAGCCTTTTCAAATATATGAGCATTAGGTTTATTTAATAGTGATTGTTGACATTCTTGTCGTGTTCGACTATCGATATTGATTCGGCATGAACCATCATCTGTATCATGTAAATACGTTGACCAAATAGAATTAGCTTTGTTACGAATCTAAAAATAATTGATATTTTTTTGTTTCTCTATGTATAATAAAAATAAAAATGATAACATACTTCATCTTGATCTGACAATTTTTTTAATTTTTCGCATTCAACCCAAAATTGAATATTTTCTTGACTAAATTCTTTTTTTAAAAATTCTGTAAAGACATGTAAACCGATTTCATCATTGAGCAATTTTTCAAAACCAACAGCCCATGAAGCAACACGACCGATATCAATTAATTGATTTGATTCTTCATTATCTTCATCTTCACATTGTTTATGAACACTCGTTAATGAATTTGATATTGATAAACGTGTTGCTGATAAATCTGCTGCTTCTTCATCGGTAACTGCAAGTGACTAAAATATAAATAAAAACAAATTCTTATGTTCATTTTATTGTTTTTATATACCTTAGTCTTAATAAGTTTCGGTCTAGTACAACGATATTTTATCTCTGATGACATCGCGATTTATTATTATCACATGAGAACATCATAAAAAAAAGAAGGAACTATAGAAAATTGAATAAGACAAGTGAAGGATGAACGTGTATAATCTTTCTTTTGTCTTAACGCTGCATTGTATTCTTAACTCTTTCTCTCTCTCTCTCTCGATTTCCTTTGGTTTTTGACTTGATGACTTCTCTATGAAAATGTAGCCAGCGGCAGTGATAAATATTATTCTTGTTAAGCACCAGTTGATGTGTTTTTCCTGTCATATAAGTGCACATAGAGCATCGATGTAGAAAAAAAAGACCAAGAGGACAGCGACTGTCTTAGTATGTCATTCTTAGTTTTTTTGGCTCTTTTTGACATGCATACATATCGAAATAGATAAATATAGATCTCCAAGTTTGACCTCTCTTTCTTGATTGATCTGCATGAAAATAGGAAAGAAAACACGTAAAATATGAAATAGCTAAAAGAGAATCAGAAAATAAGTGTTTTTGTTTGTTTTTTTTCTTCTTCTTTGATGATGATAAGCAGGTGAAGGAATTTTTTCATACTCAAAATAATTTACTTTTATTTTCTCTAGTATTCTCATCTTGTTAACAAATAATTAATGCCAAGTGTTTCGAGTTTATTCTATCATCATTATTATTTTTTCTAAAATAGCCTATCTGTTTTTTTTTCTGATAATTTCCAATCGTAAACTCGATGTTTCAACGACAATATAATGTATTCGATATCAACCTAATAACTTGCGTACTAAAGAAAAATAACTTAAGAGAAGCATCATAATTATATGATTATCTTAGTTTTTTCTATGACAAAAAGATTTCAGAAAAACATACCATATCAGATTTCCCTTATTTCATTAAAAGTCATTTATTAAACTCGTTTAGAGATTTGTTCATGAGATGTTCTGCTAGACCTTCGAGAGAGAAACTGAGAGGAAGATATAAAAATTCATTTTCTTATAACATACCAATGCATTTGGAAGTTTATATTCATTGACACTCGACTGACGACGGAAGTCAGTAAGAAAATTTCGTATAAATAAACGATGATTTACACTTATATTACTATTACGCATGATATTTTTCTGAATATGAAATAAATATGTATAAAACAAAAATTTTTTTCAATCGTCGTTGTTGTGTTTTCGGTGTTGTAGTCGTATTAGAAGTGATTGATTGTTTGTGAGTGCGAAGAGAAAAGAAAAAGAAGAAAGTAATTCCATATTCGATTCAGTACTATATGTTTTTGACCAACAGAACTTCTTGTTCTTATAATCTTTAAAAGCTCAGTAGCATGCAATCCCAAGACAACGACTCCTTCCTTCTTCTTCTTCTTCTTCTTCTTCTCTAGTGCCTTTTGTTAGTCGTACGAAAGAAATATTTTTCATCACGTCAATGCGCATAAGTCTCTCTTCTTTGATAGTCCATACAAATGGGTTCAATGCTAGAACGGACGTATGGAATCAATAATTGAGTCTCAAACATTGACAATAGTGAATGAGAAGGAAAAACAAAAAAGGAAAAAGTAGCAACACTGACACAATAGCTGACTCTTTCTTTCGATTGATCACAGCTATTAGATACAATATGAAAGAAATTTTCCTTTCTTTTTTTTTCTTCTTTTGATGACAAAAATAAAAAATTACTTGACTATTGGAATATAATCAAATATTTAATATAGAAAAGTCAGTAAATCAAACATAATTTCAAATGAAGAGAAAAAATAATAAATTGTGCGCAATGTGCCGGAAAAGATCAATACCAAACGATGTGGTACTGAGTGTATGCACATGCAAGTAGTATAGACGAAACTAAACTATACTCCCTCGATTATTGATAGGTTATCAAGACCTCGACAAGCCTATCAAATCTTATTGAATAACTATTGTTACTCTTCAACGAACTATGACCCTCTTGTATACAAAAAAAAATTCAGTTCCATAACATTAACAATTCTTTAATATAAATTTATTAATAATCTTATAATAAGTTTCTCTTTCTACAAATCTCGATTATTAATTGAGTAAATACACATTACAACGGAAATAGATTTATTAGAAAATTGAATACCTGTGTTCTTTGTGTTCTTTGTAATCCAATAAAATTTGATATATAAAGTTGATTACTACTGTCATAAAATTGTATATTCTTTTTCTTACTAGTTAACATTGTTATAAAAGAAAATGAAGACTGACGTATTTCGAATAAGAAGAACTATGATAGTTTTACATTTCTTTTGTTTTGCTATATCATATAAATGAGAGAAAATCTTGTCACGAGTATCTAATAGAATCACGAACTGTCTCTCATTTATTATTATTCAAGTGTGAAACAACATCGAAAAAAAGAAGAAAATGATCAACATCACTCATTCTATATAACAATAAGCAAAAGAAAAAAAAGTTGAAAGCTAATCAAGCAAAATGTTTTATTACTAAAAACATTAGTTGTAGATTTTTATAAAATGTCTCTTTTCCAACATATTTCAATCAGCAACATGCGATCGTATCGAAGACAAGAAAAAAAAAGTTTTCTTGAATAATATATCTCTACAAAAAATCTTTTTTTTTTTCTATTTTTTTACAGATATAGAAAAAAGATACATTACGCTTGATAGAAACTATCTTTCTTAATAAATAAATGAAAATATTTCATATTCTAACCTGAATACCAAGACTAAGTAATGGGGAATAACAAGAAAAACGACGACTCTTTCGTGAACATTTAGTCATAAATTCATTCAATGTTTTCATTGTTGTTATTGACGTATTTTAAGTAGACACTGTCAATCAATTGATAATAAAAAATTCTATTTAATAATTTTCTTTTCTTTTTTTTTTAAATCAATATTCATGTAATATAAGATGTATATGTGTATATGCGCATATTTTATAATCACATTGTGTTTATTGTCGATGTCGAATGACGACAAACATCAACAAAACTAGTTGAAAATGTCGTGTGCAATAGAGATGTAGGAATCAGCGAAGGTCTTATTAATTCTAATTCTATTAGAAAAGAAAAGGGAAGACTATATAACAAAAACAGACATTCAAATCATCACATTTCATTGCGACTGTAAAGAGCATAGAAAGATTAGTTTTTTCTTGTTGACATGAACTTGAACGCTGACGCATACCGTATAAACGACATATATATATATATAAAATATATACGTTGCTAAAGTCTCATCTCATTATTAAACAATATTTGATTCTCATGCGCGTTCATTCAAATAGAATTAGATGCGGAATGATGAACAAATAATGCATTCACAAGCGTGATATTAACTGAATAGTGCAATGAAGATAGAGAACGAACAATTAGTACCATTTCCGAAAAATGAATGAAGTAATAGAGATTATTTATTTTATCAATTATCATCTTAACAAACAAAATAAAATACTTTTAGCAGACAAAAGTCAAACGATAAACATAAAAATAAAATAAAAAAATCTTGTTAATCTCTCTGAAAAACAAGCTTAATAAATTTATTTTTTAATTTCCATATTATCTCATGAGTAACTTATTGTAATTTCTCATTAAGCATTCCATTCTAATACTTCATGGAATACATACATAACCTTTACATCATCACACAAAATTAATCAAATAATCTTCTGTCAACATAATATGACAGTTCTTCAAACAAAATTTATTATCATCGTAGTTCGATAAGCACGAGATATTTTTTTTTTCAAAGCTAGATTTTAATAAAATGAACAATGCCTTAAATAAGAAAAATCTTTTCCATCCATGATTATTCCATTACGTTCATTAGTTTCAGGCTACTGAAAAAAGTTTTTTCTTTCATTGAAAAAAAAGAAAAAAAGAAGACAAGTGATCCTCTCTCATTTCTAGGATTCAGTGAGTACAGAAAAAAAAACAAATAACAAAATTTAATATGAAAACTTCAATGACCTTTTTCAGAGATTCATGTATCATCTAAATGAAAGTAAAAAGAAACCCAATTTGTATGATGATAAGTTATATGGTATTTCCTTCGAGATTTTATTTCATGGATTCTATGAAATAAGCAATCTCTCATAATGAACAATAAGATCTTACAGCTTCTCTACAATTTTTAGTTGCTTATCATTGAATGAAAAACAAATAACCTTATTAATTAGAGTCAAAAGAAAATCAACAATTATATTTAAATATTAAAAAATAAATAAATAAAAATTGTAAGAAGATTAATTCTTTTTTCTTTTCCCTTTTAATCATAATAATAAATAAGATATATTGAATTATTTATATTCACGCATAATGACAAACATCTTATAAGACACACGGATAATGTCTTCTTTGGTTTTTGGAAGGGAAGATGAGTTGCGTAGTTAGATTGGCATTTTTAGATAATAATAACGATCGCTTACATACACTCATCTCTTTTTCTCAAGGCGTTTAAGCAATCCATCATCAATGTTAGTTAACTATTACTGATGGGCTTGACTTGATCTTTCTATATACTTTCAGTCGTTATTTGCGATAATTTCCTAGTGTTTTGCCTTGTTGAAGAAAAATTCTTGGTTACGTCGATCTCAACAGATTCAATATCTGTCATCACTCAAAGAAATCGATTCGACGTATATAGGAATAAATAAAGCAATACCAGAAGGAATATAATAATAAAGTGACGTTGATAGATACCTTTCGGTTTTTTTTTTGTTATAAACAAGAATTTATTCAAGCATTCAATTAACGTCACAATAAAAATTCATTTTATATCTAATAATTTTGACATAAGATAAATTCATCTATAGAATTAAATCTTTTTCTCTTTATAATGTCATCATCATCATCTTCATCATCATCATCATCATCTGTTTGGAAAAAACATAGAAACATATGTGTCTAAGATATATAATCTTTCTCTATTTTCTTTTCTCTATGTCGATATCCAGCAGTGCTACTAATTAGATTTTGTCACATACCAATGTTGAAGTCGTAAAACTTGCTTTACGTAATTGAGAATTTCGACGCTGATAATAATTAACAATTGATGTTCGACGTTGATGTATAGTAACACCAGCACTAGTTATATTAGCTGCATTGATTATCGACAAACGACGAGGATCAACATCAAATAAATGACGATTTGTTGTTGCTGAAGGGGTCAGGAACATGTTAGACGAATTATTAGGATGAAGTGAGGACATTAAAGGATCAAGAAGAATAATAGAAATGACCAAAGAAAACAAAAAAAACAATGGAAAGAAGTATACAATGAATGAATGAATGAAAAAGTTAAAAATCAAAGATGTGTATTGACTCCCGTTGTTTTAGCTCCCATCGTCGTCATCATTGTTTCCGACCACCTACTATCTATCTCACAAGCACATGAGGATACACAGGAGAAGAGAGATAGAGAAAAAGATAGTTGCTCTATTTAGAGAAGAAAGATTTATTTGGTGCCGTCGCTTCAAGAAAGAAAACATAATGGTGCGTGCTTGTCTAAAGGGAACGAGAGAGAGAGAAATAGATAGAGATAGAGAGACAGAGATAGAGAGAGCAAAGAATCTAGAAGGAAAGCGAGAAACGAACGCCTGCTGTGCCTGACGATCCGCTATTTAAACGAATACAATAATCATTGATGATGATGATGTTGATGATGATGATGATGGGAATGCTTGTTTCCTTTTTCTCTCATATTCCATTGGGTCTCTCTTTCTATTTCTCGGTGTGGTAGATAGCTTGCTAACTCAGTCGATATTTTACACACATGATGAAACAACGACAACGACAACGACACGCATCTGTTTCTCTTTTTTTGCTCAACAACGAAACAACAACATCCATCGTTGTTGTTCTCATTATTGTCATTTAACTCGATCTCTTTTCCCTCCTTTTTCGGTAATAGTTTTCGGAAGAAAAAATAAGAAACAGAACGATAAAACACAAAAAATGATTCCCAATCGAATGTCAAGTCGAATTAGCTCGTTGTCAGTTTAATTAACGAGATCTACACAATTTTCCCGTTTGTTAGCTTGGAATAAGCTTTACGAAAAGAAATATCTATCAAATTTAGTCCGATTGACGACAATGACAACAACAACAATAACAACGATGATGATGATGATGATGATGATGATGATGATGATGACTAGTCTAAAAAACTTGATAAGTTTTTTCTTTATATAATATTATATAGAAACATACTATTAAAACTCTTTCAAGCATAGGAGAAGTGATCCGATTGTTTTTTCGATGACAGTCCAATCAATGGCCTGTATCCTATCTATCTTTTTCTTTCTTGAAAACAAAAGTCTATGCCAATGGGAATTGTGTCTTTTGTATTTTCTCAATATGATTAATTTGATCATTCTACATAAAACTACTATCATCTCAAGGTGATCGTCAAAGGCCGTCATTTTCTTTTTCTTTTCTGTTCTTTTCCAAAATAAATCGATTATTCTTTACTTATATTCTACGTAGAAGAATTATACAACATGTAATGAAGAGCAACACAAGAATGTTGTTATTGTTACTGTTGTTCTTCCTCTAGGCGTTTATAGCAACATAGACTAAACGACATGCGAGAAGGATTATAAAGCTTTTTCGATTTATGCATTGTGTATGTTATTGGTTACAATTTTTTTTTCTCGTCAATACACACATATACATGTATTTTATAACAAGATTGTGCATGAGTTTGAAGAAAAGATATGTTAAACTGAAATACAAAGAAACCAACGGTAACCTTATTTCACAGAAAAAGAAATAATTAAGAAATAGACAATATTATTTACACTTAAGTGATCCTTTTTGATTACACTATGTCGCAAGAAGTCACTAAAGCGGCCATTGAAATATATATTCTCTATAATAACAATTATCTATAATAATCTTTTTTGTCTATTCATTTACTTAGAAGCACATAATTAATGAGAAGCTGAGCATAGTCTAAATCAGGAAATACTATCTAATGTAGTAGGCGATTTAATAAAATACTAGTATAACTGTCTGTTACAAAATGAATGACTAACGAATAATAAAAAAAAAAGAAAGTCAACTGTTGCATTTCCCGGTACATATATGAAGAAAATCGCTTTTAAATGATTGTTTTGATCTTCATAGATCAACGTTTTTTTTTTTTGTATAATACGCACCATTTCAAAGTCGTCTGTTAATTTATACATGATTGATTTATTGTCGTCTATCATTTTCCTTTTTTTCTTCTCTTTTATTCAAGAGAATACCTTTAAGAAAAGGTTGCTCTCGTTTGCTTCTTTCTTTTTCCGCATTCAATTTCTTTTTTCAAATATTTGTTCAGCTTGCAGAATTATGATATGATGATGTTCAACGGTAAAATAAAATGCGTATTTTTCAAGAAAAAAAGTAATACTTAAAGTCGTACACTACATATGACACCTTTCTTATTCTACTACTTAAAATGAACTACTTTTTTTTTTCCATTGAACTAGAAAAATCATTATTATTACCTCATGTGATCGACTAATATCTCTTTTTTGTAGAAATTGTTTTCGCTTGACCATACCAACATTACCGATATTTTTTAATTCCATTTCCTAAAAGAAATATAATAAAAATAAAGTGATGAAATTTGTTTTTTGTTTTTTTGTTCAAACTCAATGTTAGTTTTTCTTTTTTTAATTTCTGTCAGAAAAAATGTCTACAAGAGAAAAATATCATCCATGATTAGTTTGTTGAATATTTAAAAAAAATTGTTAATGAGATCATTAATACACAAATTTATTTTATATTCTTTTGTTCTTATCCCATTTTTCATTCCTCATTATTTTATTCTTCTTCATCCCATTGTTAACTATATCACCATCAGCAGAAATACTACAGGAAACTTGCTCTCTCTCTCTCTCTCTCTCTCTCTCTCGACTTTCATTACACTTGTCCTGGTTCCCAGTTTTTTCTCGTCATTGAACGATGAAGGCGAATTCCCAAGTTGACATTTGGCTGATTAGCATTACTCTATACTATCACCGGTTAGACTCAAATCAATTTGTCTTCGTCGTTCTCTTTTATTTCATAACGTGTTAGTAGCATATACGTGAAACTTGAAATACTCTTTAACAAGAAAAAGTTTCGAATACTATAATAATGATATTTAATCGTGAATAGCACCTATATTTGTTGAGGTATCATTACTTCTATTTCTTTTTCTCTGTTTTCACATGCGCATATAAAAGGATTTAGTTGCTCAATATTTTTCTATTAATATAGAGAAAAAAAACCTTTTAAAGTCGACTGATGAAAAAAAAAAAGACCGTAGCTTATATTAAACACTATGGACATCTTGTTCAAGTTGTTCAATCGAAACAATTACTCTTATTTGCTTTCAGAGAAAATAATAATCAAGTTCTGTCGAATTCTATATAGAATATAAAGAAAAAGAAAAATATATTTGATATCTAGATCATTTTCTTATTTCTTGGTTTATTTTTCTAAGAAAATAAATTTTGATAGAATAAAAAAGAAAATCTTCAATTCATTTTTCTTTCTACCTGTCTTTTTTGTCCATTTCCGGGTTTACGAGCAACAAATGTTGCTACTGTTTTCCAACCCCTATCGGCTGTTAAATACGTAGGTGATAATGTTGTTGTTTGCTGAGGCAAAATTGATTGTTCGACAATTCTTTCTTGATATTGAACTTTTTTTGCATAAAAAGAACGTTTGATTGTTGATGATGATGGTGAGGGAATATTTTTCATATTTAATTGAAAATCCATCAATTTAATTTATTTATACTGAACTAATTACTTCGTCAATGATACTTCTATTGATAGATGTTCATCTAATAACAACAAAAGCCAAGTACACCTGCGCTCGTGTCAAATATTCGAATGAGCTTTGTCACGAACATGAGCATTAAAAGCTTCTATGTCAATATATTTAATAATGACAACACCAAGTTCTTTTATGAGACTACCCACCATGACTAGTAACCCACAAATAAAAAAAAAAAAAGACGCAAGGAAGCAGATAAGTAGGAACAAAAGAAAAAGCGAGAAAAAAAAATAAATGAAGGCAAGAAAAAATAATTATGCTGAAATTCACATACATTTATATAGACGAATAAAAAGAAAAAAAAACTTGACTTCTCTACTAATAACTACCCAAAGGAACAGCAACACCAATGGAAACCCTTTATTAATGTGAATGTGAGGCGGTCAGAACGGAATCATCCTAATCGTTATTCTTTTCTTTTTTAGCGTGTACGTCTTTCTCTTGCACTTCCTTGTTTATCACTCAGGCAACGCAAAAAATAATTCCAAACACGCATAAAGACATGTCTCTTGCTTAGTTTTATCTAATCGATTACGAAAGAAATAATTTCTTTTTTCATTAGATTAATATAATATTCAATATGATTTTTATCGAACTATAACTAATAAATCAATATTTAACAAATTCAAATTCAAATAGGAAATACTTACAAAACGATACATTGTTCGAATTGTTGATGATGTGTAGATCACAGAACATGTATGCATTGTTCTTCTCTTTAAAATGAAAACTCCGAGAAAAAAAATTCTTTTTTTTCAATAATGATTAGACCGACAGTAAAATAAGAAGCCTCTCAATTTCCGCTGTGTTTCTACTTTCAAGAAGACCAACATTATTTTTGGTGTTCGTCATTATTCTCATCATACTATTCGCCTAAAGACAAACGATGATGTCTACCCTTATGACATGAAGTATTCAAAACAATAGAAAGAAGTACTTAATTGCGATTAATACGACTGGAGATACTATCAGGAAATTGTGATTTTTTATTATTTATAAAATAGAATGTAAAATAAAACGTTTTTTTTTTTGTTATAGAAAACAATTAAAGTGATTGATTAATATTTATATATATTTATAAACAAAATATCTGAAGTTTTGATCACACAAAAACAAAAAGAAAAAAAAATGCACATATGAAAAATATTAACGTGAAAGTGTATTAAATGATGATATCTGACAAGATTTTATTGAACATGAATCAAAATTTGAGCTTGCTGATGAAGGTATTAAATCTAAATAAAGAAAATTTTTCTTTTTGTTTTTTTAAATTTTATGTAAATAAAAACATACTTGGATTTATCGGTCGTTTCCATTTAGAAAAAGCTAAAAGAAAGAAAAATCAAGATGTCATATCTTATTAAACAGCTTGAAAAAAAATTCTATTAATATTCATCATCTATTAAGGTACTTCCGTTCTATATATATATATATATAGAACATATTCTCCTTTTTCCTTATAGAATAAATTCTTGAAAATTTAAAAAAAAAAAACATTTTTCTTGGTATTTGTTTATAAAATTTCTCGAATAGTTTACATTTACGAGTTCTCATAGACATTTTAAGATATCTATCAAATTCCGTAAATATTCCAGTATTACTGTTCAATCTTGTATAGTATGTCAATTAAATTACCACAATAGAGTTCATCAATAATCTCTATAATCAAATCTAAAGAGTAGTAAATTAGCTTTGTTATAGGAGATCAATGCGATAAAGAACTGAATGTTAATTATCTGTTGTTTTTACCACGATCGACTGTTTTTTCTAGACTAAGAAAACATCAAACATTTTGACCTATCGATAAATAAGGTCAAATGAAATTCTTCATCCGATAAATTTCATATTAATAGAATTGCCTCGAAAATTGGCCTTACGAGAGAACCTCGCAAAATAATAAATAGTCTTTAAAATGAGTCTTATCTCATGAGATAGGCTCTCCTGAGACGAGAAAAAATTGAAACGGAATTGTGACTAATATGAGTCTCTTTTCTTGAATTATGATCGTTAAAGTGAGTTGTTTAAAAGGACATATTGTGTTCTCTCTCACGTCACTTTTCGAATTGAATTTCAACTTCGAACTTTGTATAAATTTTCAATAGAAATAATTTATTGTCGAAGTATTAGATTTTTCAATATCTTCTCTCTTCAGATACCAATATTGAAAATTCTCCTATGGAAAAAGCAAAAAATTTGTTTATAACTCAAAATATATGACACTAGAAAATAGGACATTTTCAATATTAATAAATTCGATTGAGAATATTGTTTATATAAAGTTTGAGATCGAAATTCCATGTGAAATATTATGTGAGAGAGAAAAAATAGTATTTTCTTGAAAAATTCATTAAAAAATATTCTATCTGAAGAAGAAAAATTCATAGTCACAAATCCTTTTCAGTTGTCTCTAGTGTCAATATCACCTATTCAAATAATTAAAAAGTCATCTTAAAATTGAATTTATCATTTGGTAAGCTTTCTTTATTAGTATTCAGCCATATACTTACAATGTGGTTTATTCATGAATCTTAAAGCTGTAACCAGTTTGTATCGGTTGAACAATATTTTATAGATATGCTATTTTTCTCTAATATAAGTTGTTAAAAGCCAGTTTGTTTTTTCTTATTAAAATAATCAAACAGTATTGTTTCACAAACTATCAATTCGATTTTCTTTATTTCGCCCATACAGTTTTACTTCTTTAATCAAAGTGTATTTCATTTCTTTTCAAAAGCGCAATCAAAATTGTATTACATGAGCTAAACTTTTTTCCTAGAGATCAAATTCAAGTTTGAAATGTCGTTTGACGAGAAACACTATGTTTGTTTGGAAAGCATACGTGAGAAAATTTAAGATTTGCAGTTTTGCAATCAGTTTCTAGGTAGATGACTAGATTTTTTTTTTCGTGCTATATATAGAACTATCGCATGTTCATCTTTGAGAGTCCTAACAGATCTAAATGATGACTATAACATAATATTTCTTCCTGGAGATTTGTCAAAAATGTAAGTGCAAAAAAGATAAGAACTGTGTTTCTAAACTGTTCACATTAATCAATGAATAATCATTTAATAAATCGGCCAGATAAATTCTGAATCAATTGCAACTCTGATTAAACTAATGAAAAAATTGATTAAATTTTAAAAAATAATAAAACAAGATGTTTTTCATTTTTTTTTCTCTTAGCTTTACTCGACTAACTTTTGCAATATAATTATGTAGAGTGTTTTGTTTTTATTTATTTATTGAATCATGTCCTTTGAGACCATTTTATAGATGAATTTTGCAGTCAAAACTTATATTTTTTCTGTCTTTGAAAATAAAACATCAATAAATAAAAATCTGAAAATAATAAAAATTAATGTCTCTCAATGAATAATAAACAGTTTTACTTGATATATATATATTTTTACAGAATAATATAAGACATTCTGAAAGTATTTTTTAATATAAAAAGAACTTTCATTATCTGTTATTACATACTACTTAGGGCGTAGAAAAAGCAATGGCGGTATTGCTTTAACCCTTTGGGGACGGAACTTTTTTCTTTTCAAGCGAGGAAAAAACGACGATTTGTTTTTCTCATAAAAGTCTGAAATGAAACGTACAGAATAAGAAAAACGGTGGATTTTGTGACGAATCATCTAATTCCATAAGGTTCTGGTATCACACAGTCAACTAGAATGAAACTCAATCTTATAGAATCCTCTAGATAGTTCGAAGAAGAACTTTGATATCCTATTTTATAACACAGATCTCATCAAGTCTAATATTTGATGATATGTAACATTAAAGCTTTAGTAGTAATAACAACTGTATCAGACAATAACGGTTCTGGGACTCCATAGAATATAATGCAATGTTGTATAGATTTATATTGTTTTAAAAAACTTTGAATATAGAAATACAATAAATTCTCAAGTAATTTCAGATCTAAAATTCATTGTTTCCCCTTAATAATGCATACATACTTATATCACACGATGATGCTATGCGATACTAGCAAGTCAAGAAAAAAGAGAGAATCCTGTTATAGTCTAGTAAAGATAGATGATCGAACAAATTAGATTATGCGCAAAAGCTCAAAACTTATATATACGTTTCTCATCGCCAAAGGGTGAATTCGTTATAAAAAGGTTTAAAGAACTTTTTCTCTATGTGAGCTGAGAATAAAAACGGCACTCTATTTTTGTGCACCATTATATTATTCTTCAACTAATGTCATAATAATAATATTTTAATGAGACTTGATTGGTTCTGTTTTCTCTCATCTCCTCTTATGCATAACTCCTTATATATGTATTAGAGTATACAAAAAGTATTGGTGACGGAACAAAAACGAAATACAAAACCAAATAGCTCATGCTTCGTCTTCAACCTCCTTATTAACCTTTATGGAAACCGTTGAGATCATCTTTCAACTGTCCTAAGAGAAGGAACTTCATCACTAAAAAACAGAACATAATTCATCATAAATAACTTTTGCCCAATTATTAAGTACAATGCATACTTTAATGTAGAAGCGAAATTTTCTCTTCTTCGCTTCAAAACAGAGATGAACAATGTCAAGGTTTCATTTAACTTTATTTCTTTAACTTTCTTAAGAATACGCTAATAAAATACAGATGTAAACAAGATATGCATCTTTATATATAAATACGTCGGAGTTGACTTTAAAATTGAAAAGCCAATCTCTTATCTCTTGTGGATAGATGCATTAGGTATTGGTGTAAATATTTGTTAGTGTTAGTAGACATAGTCAGTGGAGAAATACTCTTTGAAAGTGCATCATTGAACGAGTTTAGACAGTTTGGAGTACAGAGAGTTTTCAATTAGATGTTTACGAGCTTTTAAGAGGTACGTCGAGAACACTTCAATGTTGTATAAATGCATTAAGTGGATTTCCGCTAGCTTTTCCATAATC